GCGCTACAGCCAACCGGGAGGGAACCGGCCCGGTTGACCGGCCGGTAGGACCGGTCCGGTTCCGGTTGGGGGAGGACCCCTCGGTCCTACCGGGTTTTCAGCACTGCCTCACAAGGAGATACCGGGTCTCACACACAGGTAGAGATAAATTCACAGTCGTCACTCACAACAGCAAACCCGCTAGGCGGGATTTCAATTAGGAAATAGTAACATCATAGTCCACCACCGAACCACCTTCAGACCGTCACACCCTATGAAACCACCATCACTCCTGTCAAAATCAAAGCAGCCGCACGCAAGCGACGTAAAATGTTGACTGTAAGCAGCTGCTAGTCCGCTGTTAAAAACAGGAAAATTTAAAATTCTGGGAAAAAAACAACGTTGGTTTGGTTGAGGGTCACCATAGAATTCCTTACAGAATCGAAGATGAAAAAGAAAAGGAAAAGATTCAAACTGAGGCACCCCATTTAAACCCCTTTAAGCCCCTTTTCCTAGCTATACCCCCCCTCCCCCCCCCCCCCAACACACACACGCGACAAGAAAGAAAAATACAAAAAAACCCTGATTCATGCTGACTTCGGGGTGCTGAAGGAACCCAACAGAAAAACATCAACAAAAAGAATTCCCGGACGTTTTGAAAGCCCAGGTTGACCTGGGCAGGGGACCCCCCGCGCGGGCCGCCTGCCAGGCCCGGTCAGGCGTCGTGATTAACCTAGATGCAAACAGCTTTGCTGGCACAAATCCGGGATGGTAAATTCAATCCAGTTTTCATTCGTTCATGCTCTCCTTTGTTCAGTGTTATTGCTTGACAAACGCGTTTCTCGTTGTTGTTGATGTGCCCACATTTAGCTTGCTTGTCATCAGGTGGTTAGTGGGAATTCAAATCGTAAGTTGGTGATGATGATTGTGCATGAGTTTTGGCCTGGTTGGAGTAATGTGGGAGGTGGGGTGGTGGTGTTGCTGGGGGTTCAGTGTGCGGTTTGCTCGGGGTGCAGTGGTGCTGAGGGCTTGGTTAACGTTCTTAGCAATACTTGGGAATCATGCAATGCAGAAATAGAACGAAGAAGACACACTCAACCCATTTGAGTGTCCAGACCATACTTGCGGTGCATACGTGAGGTGCCCTGATGGCAGATGCGCAAAAAAAGAAAAATAGAAAAGAAAAAGTAAAGAAGAAGAAGAAGAAGCAGCAACCATGATGTGTGTATACACACTGGAGAGAGAGAGAGAGAGAGAGAGAGAGAGAGAGAGAGAGCAAAGAGCCCTTTCACACTTTTCAGAAAACCACCGCCCGTACTTCAAAAGGTCCCTGACCAAAGTTAGCAAGGACCTCATCAGCAGGAGAAGAATGGTCGTTGGGCCTGTAGTAAGGAGGGAGCAGGCCAGGTATATATGGTGTAGCTTTGAATTCAGGTCCGTGTTTGGGCTGCTGACTTACTAACTTGGCATGTGATTTTCAGGGCTTCACTCCACTACTCACCAAATGTGCAAAACTAGAATGAATCTTCTCCTAGAAACCGGAACCATACAAGCCATATGTTTTTCTTTTGTGCAAGTGCTGATGAGTGGATGGAGGCCCTTAGGGCCACTGCACATAAGAAAAGGAAAAAAAAAACGAGACAGCTATTTTAGTGTTTGGAGTATGTTTGTAATCTGAATCCAGAATATATTGCTGGCCTGCTCGTGTTCCTCCAGCAGTCGATGCACCTTCTTCCAATTGAATGGGATCCCCACTAATTCTTTGCAGGGGACCCTTTGGAAAAGAGACTAAATCCAATGAGGAGTACAATGTGGCCTAGGCTACCAGAGTGGCTGCCCGGCTGGGCCAAAAAGAGTGGGAAAAAAAAAACAATAAATTATTTTTTAATTTAAAATTTTATTTTAAATTTGGTAAAGAATTTCGTTGTGACCCTGAGGCAAAAGTTGTTCAGTTTATTTTTCGGCATAACATAGTTTTTTTTCGGTTTTTTTTTTGGTTCTTTTTTTTTTTTTTTTTTTTTTTTGTTTGGGACCTTCCCTGGTCCTTGCACGGCCGGGCTGCCCGGGAAAATAGGGTGACCCCGGGGGCCCGGCTGGTAGCCTAGAATGTGGCCCCAATTTTTATTTTTTTTCTTTGCCGTTACACTTATCAAAAGGGAGGCACACATTTGGTTACCACAGCGTGCCCTCTTGAATTTTTTTTTTTTTTTCAATTCCTAATTGCGCCGCATCACGTGCGCTATGCGGCGCTCGTGCGCAACTTGCTCGCACGTGATGCGCCGCATGTATGGTCCAGACATGCAACTCTTAATCAACAGATCAGGAGTTTGGATCCTAAGTGAATAAGAGGACCAGAGGACCACTGCAATAATAGTAGGGGGCTGACTGCCACTACCTCCGAGCCTCTTTTTGCCGAGGCGGAGTAGAACTGTGTGCCAAGCTTTGACTGAAGTGCCAGCACAGCGTTTTTTGTTTGGTTTTGGCTGGCGCTCCCACCCTTTTTGGTCTGGTAGGGCACGACCTCCGCCAGACTCGGAAGAATGTAGTATGGGTTGTATTTACAACTTCACCTTCCAGCCTGAGAGGTAGTGGTTTAAATAAGAAATGAAAATAAAGGCAATGATCAAAGCCCTCGACAGATCCCCATAAGCCTTGTCATGCTTGTCCTGAGTGAAGGCTGGCCTCAATATTTGCTGGGGGGCTACTTTTGGCAAGTGGGGAGGCCCTGTGTGACGTGCTGAAAGGAGGTCCGGCACGAGGCAAGGTACCCATACCAGTTTCTGGAAGAGAGCTTCCGGAAGGGTGTCACCTGGGGTGGTTGAGCCTCGCAGCATCTTCAACCATGGGGTAGAGCCCGATAGTTTGAGATGCTGCCAGCCTTAGATGCTGAGGCCTAGGACCGTTACAGTTTGATCCCCGGGCACAGCTACTGGGACGCGTGCAGCCAGGCCAGGCCCTTGCAGCCAGCCCCTTTCCATAAATGAAAGTGCCTGCCTCCAGTCCAGACATATTCTGGCTGGACGCTGCTGCGTGAGCGCACGCTGGAGGCAGGACGCTGGCCAGGGGCATCGCGCGCACGGATCTGGGTTACAACGCTGCTGAGCGCAGCGGCCATAGCCAAGCCACTTGTGCATGGAAGCCGGTGGGGGAGGTGGTGGTCCTTGGTGGAGTTGAAGAGCCTGTGGAGGGACAGTCAGGGGATGCGTAGAAGAGAGGGAGAGAGAGACGTACCCGGTGTGTCGTGGAGCTCTGCGAGCGAGATGTACCTGGTGTGTCGTGGAGAGCACAGCTGGTGAAGTGCTCCTGATTGCATCTGTAGGTTGTAGGCTAGAGTCGGTGCTGCTGTGAGTTTGGGGTCTGGGCGCGGACTCGGAGCACCATATAGAAGAGCGACATTGGATGCATTGTTGGTGCAGGCGTGATGGGGGCTAGCATTGACAATTGAGTTCATTGCTTTGCTCTTATTTGGTGTGTGACTTGGTTCATTCTGCTTAGTGTTCAGCCCACGACTACCTGGCTTTCAAGTTTCAATGTGATGATGATGCAATTCGGTTTTCTGTCATTCACTCTCGCCCATTTTCGTCGCAGGAAAAAGAAAACAGCCAAAGACACAAACCAAGACAGGGAAAAGACAAGACAATTGGCAATGACAAGTTTAGACTCTTAACATTGTGAACCGTGTGGCTAAACTTAGAAAAGTTGGACACTGAACTACTGTGAATCGCTCTTGTAGATTGCAGGATCTGCGTGTGGAGAGCATGCGATGGGAGTCTAGTTCACTCTTTGACAGGGCACAGCCAGCAGGTAAGAGAAGAATGAGCCACTGAACTTCCATGCGATTAGGATGTGTCAATTGCAGAGAAGGGCTCTTACCCTGTGTTCACTCTTTCACTTTGGTTGTGCTCCTTAGAAAGCAGTCGACTACTCAACCCTTTTTCTTTCTCTTTTTTTCTCTTTGCTTTTTGGAAAGCATTCGACAGCTCGACACTTTTTTTTTCTATAATTCCATAGGTACTACCGCCTTCACCCGAATAGAACGCCCGGTCATTATAGCTGTATTTGGTCGAAATGGAAGTCTAGATGCAGTGATAATGACCGGGCGTTCTATTCGGGTGAAGACGGTAGGTAGCAAAAACATTGCTTGTAATGGAATACTCTGTATTGCTTTCTTCAATGGCTCTGCTAATGAAATGAAAAGCTGAATCCCCTCCAGGGAGTCCTACCGTGTTCACCCAAGTAGAACGACCGGTCATTATAGCTGTATTTGGTGGAACTTTCAGCCTAGATACAGTGGTAGTGTGAAGGGGCGCCCTTCAAATTATTGTTCAAGGATAATGCTTTTCAGAATGTGCACGAATACTTTGCAGCATCTGGATGCATGTTTGATGACACTCTCTACTACTTTCCCTGATGAATATTGACATCGATTACAGACAGTCAAATTCCGTTGAGGAAGTCCTAGCGCGTTCCCGAGAGCTGAACACAAGGCCATTATCGCTATATCAGGACAGAAAGTGTGAGGATGCCCTTTGAATAATTGTCGAGGATAATACTTTTCAAAGTCTGCGAGTTTTCCCAGGATTATTAATGAATGTGAACTTGTCAAGTAATCGTTTCCTTTTTTCATTATTTGAAGGAAAATTTGGGAAAATCATTGTGTGATCGATATTTAATGGGTACTCAGTACTGTACTGCTGTTTGTTTGTGAACTTCGGACTGCTTTGCTATATATTAATGGTGTCATATATTGCAAAAAAGGGGAAGCTAAACGACCTGTACGTGTCCCAGCCATTTTTCTCAAGTCATGGCTTGCATGCTGCTGCAACTTTCGGGGTTCTGCCTCCAGAGCGAAATGGCTGGCGGCGCCCGCCAAAAAGAGGCCCACACCGGTTTGTTTTCTTTGGCACGCAGCGCGTTTCCAGCCCCGGAGAAAAGTGTCTCGGAAGTACCGGTGGTTTACACTGCCAGTACACGGCCCCAGCCTTGTGGAAACTTGTTCATTGCCTCCTGCAAACTTTTAGGGGCTCGGGGCTACCAGACCACACTGGTTGGCGGCACCAGTGAAAAAAGAAAAAAAAGTGCACCGGTGGCGATTCAGCAAAGTTTGGCGAACAGTGCAGCACCTCCAACCCCTGGTGTACTGGTGGTTTTTAGGAAAGCTGCATTGTCTTGAAGAGTCTCACTGAGGGTACTCTGCGTTTTTCTGTGTAATCTTGATTGGAATGATGCTTCTCTGAGGTATCATATTGAAATTTGAAAGCCTTTTGTGTTACCGATAACAGTGAGAATAAATACGTGGGGTAGCCCTCCCCTCACCAGTCTGATTCCGTGCACGGTCGGATCAAAGAACTTACCACACTAAGTACTGAACGTATGTACAGCGGTAACCCGCTCTGGGAAATAACAGCTGGATTGGGCTCAGGCGGCTGCGTGAGGAGTGGCCCTTGGCCTTGCACCCTTGCAGAAGGGTCCTGACTCCTGAGCGATGTCGTGTGGGTGAGTGGGTGATTGTTATGCAGCCGCACGGCGGTGGGGGGGATGTCACGGCCGATGTGCCTCTTGTTAACACTGTCTCACAGCTGCAGTGAGAATGTTGAGTGTGTTGGTGAGTGAGTGATCCTCCGGCAGCTGTGCAGGGGGGCGGGTGGATGTCACGACCATATGGCTCTGCCTTCTGTGTCACGGGCAAGGTGATGGTCCTGAGTGATGCCGTGTGGGTGAGTGAGTGAACATCCAGCAGCTGAGCAAGGGCGGGGAGATGCCACGATCAGTAGGACTGCTTCTCACAATGGCGATGCTGTTCTTGAGCGATGTTGTGCGGGTGAGTGAGTGAACACCCAGTAGCTGTGTAGGAGAAGGGTGGATGTCAGGGCTAGTATGGCTCTCTGCGCATTAAGACTGTGTAATGGATGCAGCGGTGAAGGCTTCTGACTGTTGAGCTGGAGATCACTGGTTGGATTTTGCCCAGGGTCCGATCACATACGTACTGAACAGTGACAAAGGGTTAGAAAACAAATCCTCAAACAGACCAATTGCTCAGCAGTGGTCCAGCAGATGTGGAATTCGGGAGTATCTGCCCAATAAATATGCTGAAAAGTCCAACCTCACTGTCATCTTGATTGATTTCTTTGGAAATGTGTTCCTCAAAGCACCACTACCTTTTCCCATGTTGGCCTCGGGTGGGCCTCCGATCTTTCAGTAGGCCGAAACAAAACGATGGGCGCTGATGAGATTTATCAACGGTGGCCTTCGTCGGGCCCAGCCCCCGATTCTTTAGGAGTAGGCTAGTTTCCGTTTTCCCAACAGCGGGAGAGCTAGTAGTGGTCTAAAGCTTTGTTTTTTTTTTTTTCCCATTTTTGCTGTGCAGTTGTGAAATGCATTCTGTTCTTTACGGTTTCAGGAGTTTCCTTCACTAAGTTCACGTTGCATTTCTTGGCAGTTGTTCTGAACGGTTGAGTTCACTGTTTATCCCTCTTCACAGCACAGGTGCTCTGTTCTAAAGTTTTCAGAAGACTGTGACACATGGAACAATGGATGTTACCTTCTGACGGTCCCCCCCCCCCCCCCCCCTTCTGTAAACAGTGATAAATTGGTAATGTTTTCCTGCTTTACCTGTGCTCATTGCCTCACGATGGTAACAATCATAGGCTGATGGTGGACCACTGTTGTGCATTGCTGTCTGTCTCATTGCACACAGACTTATGTGCTGGACGTGCATCCATTTGATCCACGAATAGCTATGAGCGCTGGCTATGATGGCTCAGTCATCTTATGGGATGTAAGTACTGAGTAGTACCTAGATGCATCGTGCTGGTTGGATCCTTGTGTTTCATGTTCATGTTTTTTTTTTTTGAGTGAAATAATACAAGGGATGAGATTGCCAACTCCCTCCCTCGTTCACACAGCGAGCATCAGCTCCCAAAATATTCAATATTAGGCTGGGTAGCATGCCGTACGTGTACGCAGGTTTCACGTGCAGGAACACACGTACTACTGTACGTGACACGTACGCCCGTACACGTACTCTCATATGCAGGCAGCAGGAGTATGTAATAATGTAAGGGCAAAAAAAACAAAAAGATCTTAAAAAGAAGTATGTTATGCAGCATGATAATACAAACAACTTTTTCAAGGGAGCCATCTCAGAACTCCCACGCGTATGCAGGATTTTTTAGTACGTTCAGGTACTCCAGAATACGTATGCGTACTCCCCACATACGTGCGCGGTGTGCTACTTCAGGCTAATAATAAAACAGATAGTAATCATATTATTAGATTAATCTCTTAATTTCCGAAATTTGAACACAGTTAAGCAGCAATGTTGACCACTTCAACGGGCTGCTTTTGTGAACACAGAGAGGTCAAGATGTCATTGAGAAAAAGGAAAAAACAAAGTCCAGGTGTGAATGCAGTCTAGTGCAGATGGGGATAAGTTTCGGGCTCCGGATGCGCACACAGTCCAGCGTAGAGTGTACTCTGGCACCCCCCTGTCCTTGTTGGTTGTTCGGCTTATTCTCTCTATCTGGGCTCATTCATGGCCTCTGAACTCTTGCGTTTTCCAGCCATCCAACTCTAGCACTTGATCTTTCGTCTGAGTTCGCCTGTTGCAGTCTTCCGAAAAATTGGAAGTGTGCATTCAGATCCAATTATTGCAACCTGCTTAATATAATGAAAATCATCATTGCATCCCAGCCAACTGCCTACCCCTACCGCCGACCGTTTTGCAGCCTACCAATAGGGCCGACCAGTCGGCGGTCTGCGAACCAGTCACTAGACAGCCATCCACT